TCAAGTATATGAGCTCAGGCTTCCCTGGAGAGGTGGGAGGGAGTTAAACTTGGAGTAAACAGGGTGCGGGGTAAAATCCTGGCACAAAATGAGACAAGCAGGGCGTGAGTATAGATAGGATGATTCTCCAGTTAAAGATGGAAAGATGGGGGAAATTAGCAACAGAAGCTGAGCAGGAAGAGCCCCAGAGAAGCAGAAGGAAAATCAGGTGAGGTCAGGTAGGGGAAGCCAACAGGAGAATGTTTCAAGAAGGGCCATTAGTCTACTGTGAAAGCCTTCTGATAGGTCAAATACACATTGAAAACTGACCATGAATTTAGCATTTAGGAGGTTGGGGTGACCTTGATAGGGCAGGATCTATGAAATGCTAGCTGTGAAAACTTGAATGCAATAAGCTCATAAAAGAGTTGGGGAGAGGAATTAGAAACAGCAAGGATATAAGGCAACTCTGTGAGGACTTCTAAGGTTTGCTCCAACTCTCAGAGTAACTTGAGCCCTTCTGAAAGGGAGCCAGGATGTAAGCAGGTTCTTTTTGGAGGCTTATTCTGAGATGAGGCTTTGAAGACCACATGGACTTTGTTCAACACAAATCCCATTGGGAAGCAGACAATTCACTATGGTCTTATTAAAGTTTTCATTCAAAGCACTTGAAGATTTTTTTCTGGGGCTTCGAGATCTTCACTGAGTTTTATAAAATTTCATAGCTAACTAAGATCATGAGGCTTAAAGACTATTACAAAATTTATTAAACTTTTGATTAAATAATATTATATAAAAGCTATTAAGTAAAAATGAGACTAAACTTTATTTATACAGAGCTGACTGGTCAGATGAAAAACAATAGAATCAGCATCTTTTAAGAATTGATTACATGGGGTGGTGGCACGCACCTGTAATCCCAGCGTTCTGGGAGGCTGAGGCATGAGGACTGCAAGTTTGAGCCCAGCCTGGGCAATTTTGTGACTTGGCCACTAAATTAATCTCAAAATTAAAAAAATTATAAAAGGGTGGGGATGTAGCTCAGTGTGAAGGCCCTGGGGTCAACCCTTAGTACACTACCCCTGAAAAAGAAAAGAACTAATTATATGAGGTTTTGTAAAAGAAAGAACATGACATTTTCAGTAACATGACTTGTGTTTGAATCCAAGCCTATTCCTTGCCAGCTATGAAACTGTAGACAATTTTAATTTTTTAATAGTTAATTAGAAAATAGTTAACTTTTCTGCACATGTGTAGATGTTTGACAATAAACATTTCAGAGTGTTATTGCAAAGATCAAATGCAACATAACATGGGAAAATGCTTAGTAATAAAGTATCTACAAGGATACTATTGATCAGAAAATACTTCCGTTCACATGCTTTTGTTGGACTCCCCTCAACCCCATGGAGGAGGCAGGACCGGGTGTTGTTATTGCCACATTGAAAAGGGTGGAGCTGAGGCTCTGAGATGTTAAGGGGCTGGTCTGCAGTCAGAGGACCGATACCTGCTGAAGTTGGGGCCACTAACAAGTGTTCCGCTCTGATCTGGACTCTGTCCACTATCATGTTGTCTGCATGGGTACCACATGGAATCAGCACAGAACGCTGTTAGGGAAAGTGTCTCCTCTGCTGTGAACTAGAGTTTCTAACCCCACTCATTCCGCTCTCGATGGCATGAATGAATGGGCCTGTGACAGAACGTGTCACAGACACACGTGAGGCGGGAACTTCACCTGAAGTCACCTACAACCTCTTCCTTTTGGCTTTATACCTTCTCCTCTCCACCTTTGCATGCAGACAAGCACCTAAAAGAGTAATGCGCTCACTGCTCTGAGCTCAGGAACTCTTACCACCCTCTGATACTCTATTTATTTTTATTTTTTTGTCATTTTGAGACAGGGTCTTGCTATGCTGTTTAGGCTGGCCTTGAGCTCACTTTGTAGCCCAGGCTGGTCTTGAACTTGCAACGATCCTCCTGCCTCAGTCTCCCGAGTGCTGGGATTACAGGCATGTGCCACCATGCCCGGCCCTGATACTCTTTAACACAGTTCCCGCTCGCTTGAACCACGGGTCATCCGTGCATGCCCTTCCTGTGCCGCCCCTGGTACAGTGATGTATAGACCACAAGTGATTCAGAGTGACTCAGCAGCCAGAGATATACAACTTACAGCCCCATTGCAAACGTGTTGGAGGATACCACTGAAGATGTTGCTGAACTGTAATATTGTGGAGCCGGAAGGAACTACAGATGCCATTTACACAAGGCTTGCATTTTACAGACCGAGAAGCTTAATTCTGGAACTACAAAGAACATCTCAGCTGGTGTCATGGACAGTGCTAGCACAGGGTAGCTTGACGCCAAGTGCATACCCTTTCCCATTTACCACATTGCTATTCACCATGCAGCTGTGGCATGGTGTGACACCTACAACCACAGTTGTGAAGGATTCCCTAATTAGTTAAGTAAAAGGAATTTACTCTAACTTCCCCTATTATAGCACTAACAAGTGCTTAAGCTACTTAATAAGTAAATGGTAGCTCAAGTCACCTCTTGATAGATCATCACGTTTTTTCATTTGTAGTTTTGAGTGCTAACCGACAAAAGTGATTTTAAAGCTGCTCATGAGAGGACCCAGTCATTTGATAAGCAATTCCAAATGCCAAATACCCACATGTAGAAACAGACCTCTTTATAAATGATGTCTGACAGGGAAAAAGATATTTGTGGCATAGGAGCTCTGAAAAATGTAATTATTTATCCTTTCACAATTAATGAAAGAAATTGAAATTGAAGCTTTCATTTCAAATCCTTATCTGGATGAAACTTTAATTTTACATAATTAAATTGACTTTACAGTTCAGTGTGTTAAAATAGGCAATTAAATGGCATATCAAGGTTAAATGCCTACTGTTATTGGCTCATTTAGGAATCATGTTGCTCAACTTCTAAACATGAAGGAGCACCTGCCTGTCCACTATTGTCCCCAGAGCCAGGGATGGCACATAGCCTGTAGGGCTGGTCTCTCCAGTTTAGAGCAGGCGGTTGAGTTCATTTTTGCATGTGCTGACTCTTGTATAAAATTAATTGGATTTAAAGTTTGCACTTCTCTTTGTTTTTCAGTAGGGCTTTTTTTTTGGGCATAAAAATATTTTGGCCCTTTGATGGTGCTCCACAGATGACCGACTTAAAGTTTTATAGAGATTTCCTCCCTAACAAACATTTGCATCTTCAAAGTTGTTACTTTCTATCTGAAATGATGTTAAACTTCCTTTATCGCAATTTTTAAATTTCACAGTGTATGGTACACTTCAGTTGGGACTTCTTTCCAATGATCTTTGCATCTTTGGGCAAGGAGACAGTTACAAAACATTGGGGGAAACATTGAAGGCGGTCATACAAATGGAATTGGGATGAGTCCACTGGAAAAGTCTGCACAAGTGGAGATTTTTACTTGTGTACCTCCACCTTGTTTTCTCTGAATAACACCTTTGTGATGATTAATTTATGGCTCAATAGAATCTCACATTCTCTTTCATCTTAAGGCTGTGAGCAGAGCATAGTTTAACATTTAGAGCTGAGTTCCCTTTCCTTCCTTGATATATTCTGGAATTCATGTAACTGATTTTGTTTTAAGGTGGTTGCTTAGAAGGCTTGTGGATCTAAGCAATGTCCTTGACATGATGATACCTAGAAAACATATATGTAATGGAGGCTTCTTCCAGATACATGGGAAGGTGCATTGGCCTGTTAAAATAGTGGAGGGCTTATGAAATTAGCAATTTCTTGAAACAATAAAGCCATATAATTAGCAATTTCTTGAAATTTCATAATTCAAGGACAGGTTTAGTTTCCAATTAGGAATAAAATTTAGAAGAAGGAGCCGTTTAGCTGAAGATGCTAATGTAAGTCAAAAGTGTTCCCCCAGTACCAGCAGTTGAACATAAGACCTCACACATAAGCTTTGCCACTGAGCCACACCCCCAGCCTTTTTGTGTATTTTATTTTATTTTATTTTATTTTATTTTTTATTTTTATTTTTATTTTTTTTTTTTGGTTTTTCTCCGGTACCGGGAACTGAACTCACGACGTTGCGCATGCCAGGCAGGTGCTTTTGCCACTGAGCTAAATCCCCAGCCCCCTTTTTGTGTATTTTAGTTTGAGACAAGGTTTGCTAAGTTGCTCAGGTTTAGTTGCTCAGGCTGACATCTTCCTACCTCAGTCTCTTGAGAAGTTGAAAGTATTAATGTTAAGGATAACACCAAGATGAAGTAGTTCCAAAAATCCATGTCCATAACATAATCTTGACATTAAAATTCTACCCCAAGAAATGAAATTTGCAAAGAAAACTAAAAGATGTTTCCTGAATAATGACTTGCCACCTCTTCCATGCCCACTGTCATGTATTCATGTATCATTCACTAGTCAGTATCCTGTTTTCTCTCCTGCTTTAGTTATGTTTCAGTAGGCAATTTCCTTTTGAAGAGAAATCCAAGGTCTTCTGATTGCCCAGATAACGCATTTACAAATCCAGCTAAATTCTAACTATTCCGGGCCAGGATCACTGTCTCTCTAGGAGAAGATGAGTTTGAATTCAAATAAAGTGATTATGATGATTTTAGAGATTTCCCAGGCATTTTTTTTTTTTTCATCCTAGAAAACAGCTGAATACATGGAAAGAAAACACTTTCCACTTAAAGAAACAGATCTCCCTACAATGTTGCATCACAGTCATTGACTGCCCAGCACAAATCTGAAATCAGAAAAAGCGGGAAGAAGAAAGGCCAAAATGGATTTAGATGATAATAATGAACTGAAGGAACCACAGAAGGATAAGTGCCTTTGAATGATAAATAGGATCAGTAGATACTTTAATTGTGCACACTATTTGAGCTGAGTGTGGGAGAGAGTCTGGGAATGAAAAGACAGCAAATTGGAACCGCACTAGCCCTTGATGGGGAAGAGCAAGCGCCATTTCTGTGCTCGAGGCGTCTCCTTAGAGTTCCCTCAAGCAATCTTACCTTTGTTTTCTGCCTTCAGTTCCTCTGCCATCAAGCTGTCTTGTCGGTTACCAAGCACGAATGCTAGAAACGAGAGGATCAGGGCATCCAAAATTCCAATGATAGCCAAGATGTACGCCCAGCGGACGGAGCAAGCCCCGAGGGTGTACTTGTCGGTCTTTTCTCCGCACATCCGTTTGACTTCGTCTGAATCCCAGCCATCGGGGAAAATCATACAGCCAAGCACAAGGCAGGCAGCTTAGGGAAAGAGAGGAGAGCAAAAGGAAAAAAAGGAAGTTAACACATTTTATTTTAGCAAAGATTTCTACTGTTTGTCAATCACTGTTTCAATTTTTCTTGATTTAGAGAGTAGCAGATCTCACCACTGTTTTACTCTGAGCCAGCGTGTGTGTGTGTGTGTGTGTGTGTGTTTTCCTGGTTAATTTAAAAGCAGCCCAGCACTTGTACCAAAAAGACTCTGGGAATGCACTTGAGAGTAAGCTCACGCATCCTGAGAGAGATTAAGGCAGATTGATCTAGGAGAAAATATTAAGAAATTGAATTTTTGTGCACATTTATGGGAAGGCTTCTGTTGCAAACGGGCCTTCAGGAATCATAACACTGTAGAATGACAATTCAAGGCTGGCTTTGAAGAGCTCGACAGCAGCCAGATAAGGGATTAGGATAACAAGGAAAGTACCAGAGCGTATATTGACTTTGAATCACCGTGAAAAACAATTTTACATTGTGATCGCCCCACCTCTGACACCCAGAAAAGTTTTTGTAACTATCTTTGCCCTGTGCAGTGCATGCTGATCATCTTCTACTCTATCCTGTTTCATTTGTTAAAAGGCTGAAAAATCTTGCCACACAGAGCAGCCTCGCAGAGCTTTTATAGAAATTCAAAAATTCAGAAAAATACTTACATCCTATTTCCCAAATAGCACTGTGGGGTCTTATGGCTGCTTTTTATAGGAATTTGTTCCTTTGAACATTAAGAAAATAAATGGCTATTATTGACACTTTTTATATTTAATTGAAATATTTAGTGGTATATAATCGTATTTTGGGGGTAAGTAGAGATTTCTGGTTAGGTGGGTCCATTCATGCATTCACTCATTCGTTTGAAAATGGTTTCTAGAGCATCTCCTATAGAGTTCCAGGAACTATCTTGGTCCTTGGTCCTAAGGATGCACTGATCATGAAAAGAGACAAGGTTTATATCATTATAGAGTTTATGTTTTATCAGGAAAAGAAGCAAAACATGTGTAAGCATACACATAAAATGGTTATAAGTTACAAGTAGTACGGAGTAGGAAAGAAACAAGGGCTCAGATGAAAATAAAGGTGGTCAGGTAAGGGTTCTGGAAAGAAACAAGGGCTCAGATGAAAATAAAGGTGGTCAGGTAAGGGTCCCTGATCCTCTCGTTTCTTGTCTGTAAGCAGACAAGTTGAGGCCAGAAATAGGCAAAGACTCAGCTGTCTGAAAGTGGGGGAGAAATTGTTCCAGGGAGCAGTGTGTGCAAAAGTCCTGGGGTTGGAAAGAGGCTTGCCACATTTGCTACACGGAAATTGGTTGCTGGGTTAGAAGATGCGATCACATTTAGGTTGAGGGGAAGGTAAGACTATGTATCACAGCTGGCTGCTATTTCTAGGGTGCGTAACTTAGGAGGGCTATGGTGCCCTACCCAAGTGAGAGTTCTACTCTGACTGCCAAACAGTTCCTGAAGCTGGCAGGAGGGGTTGCCATATGACCACTGCTTCCCTGCAACTTACTGAACAAGACAGAAATGGATGCCTTCTTTCCTTTTCCAAAACAGGCACCTGGATCTACAAGACAGCTTTGAAGGAGACGTAGACCAAGAGGGACGGGAAGAAGAAAGACTGCCTGGGAGAATGCTGCTTCAGTGCTCCATGTTCTCTTACAGGACAATGACCTAAAACTCTGAGTCCTACCTGACTCCTCCCTTTCCTTCCCCAGGTATCTCAAACGCTGCCAGCCATGCTCTTTCCTGTCTGGGTGGTGTCTCTGTCTGGACAGGGCTTATGGACACCTCCCTACTTTAAGTCTCTAGTGTCTGTCAAAGTGAACCCTAACTTCTCTGCCTTTCACCACCCTTCTTTATCCAGATTACATATGATTAGATCTTCTCGCTCAAAACGTTTTGCTGGCCACCCATTGGGCACTGAAGAATAGCCAGGTTTCTCAGGCATTGAAAAGCTCCATAATCTAGTCCTTTCCCTTTTATTCTCTCCACCCCACTGGAGCTGAACTACACACGACTCCAGGCTTTAGAGGTCCTTGTCTTCTCTCCCACCTGGAGTGGTTGTCCCTAAAAGCTCTACTCTTGCATATCCTTTGACACCCACGCCAGATGCAACACCCTCCACAAAGCAAAACATCTCCAATTCTTCTCCACCTAGAGTAGTTCCCTTCCCCGAACTCTCATAGAAGTTAGCAATCCCTATCTTAGAGACTTTGCTGCTTCTTATATTATCATAGCTATTTATCTACCAGTATCACCTCAGTGAACAGACTGTAGGCTTTCTAAGGAAAGAGTCATTGAGTGCTAAAACAGTGCCTTGCACAAAGTAGACACTAAAACACATTTAAATAGGGAAATGGATGAATGGATAACTGAACAGTAACGCCTGGACATAACATTAAAATAGTTTATGGAGATCAATACCACAGTTATCCCAGACTGCAAATCTGGTTGAAGGTGGATTCATATTCAGGTGACATTTAACAGAGACAACAGATTACGAGAACTTGAGAGGCTAATTTAAATAAGTGAATTTGGTGATTCGGAAATATTTTCAGGGTTCCTTTCCCTTTGTACCTCTCAATATGTAGTACTCAATGTACTTTGTAAGGCTCTGTCTAGTTAAAATGATCTGTGTATTTTAAAAATGTGCTTTCCATGAGTAAAATTCATTTTATTTGTGGCAGTAGAGAATATCTTTGAATCCAAACTATAGTTTGGGTAAACACTTCTAAATTATTTGGGATATTTAAAAAATATTCTGAGCTGGGCATGGTGGTGCACACTTACAATCCCAGCACTCTGAAGGGCTGAGGCAGGAGAGTCACAAGTTTGAACCCAGCTTGGGCAACTTAGTGATTTCGCAAGACACTGTCTCAAAAACCAAACCAAACCAAACCAAACCAAACCAAACCAAACCAAACCAAAATACCCCAAAGCAAAACAAAGCAAACAAACCAGGGTTGGGGTTATAGTAAAGGCCCTGGGTTCAATCCCCCATACTGAAAAAGTAAATTCTAAATGCTTTTAAGAAAACATTAAATATATCAACAAGAAAACTACTTTCTTATAAAGAATCAAAAGGAAATCTTATATTTTATGAATGGTAATCACTTGAAGAATAACATTACAGCTTAGGGAAACTTCGTAGAAATCACCAAGTGACACAAACTCCGGCAGGTTATTGGGCCTCCGTGACAACCTTGCTGGGACAGGGGGCTAGTGGAATGGGGCCAGCAACAAGGACACGGTTCTCATGGTCACTCTGTCCTGAGGGTGCACTGGCTTCTCTAAAGTTTCCATTTGGGGAAACGCTGGGCCGTAAGTTGGAATGAAAATAGCAGAGGAAGAGTTAATACTCTGAAACAAAACCACAGGAGAATAAGAATGGCAAACTATTGTTCTCCACTTTCAAGTACTGTAAGTGACTTCCTAAATTGAATTGTAAGCAGACAAGATGAGAAGACAGAGAAAGTAATATACAACTGTACTTTCTGCAGTGGATATTTTCCTGAAAGTTACGAAAACAAAGTTTTTGAAACAGAATTTTTACTTTCAACAATCCAAGGAAGTCAGGTATTTAGGAAAAAAAATGTTCTTTCTTTCAGAACTAGGAACTCAGTTCAGGAAGCTCTGAACTACATACTTTGGCCCCCTGATCCCTTTTAATTTTTTATTTTGAGACAAGTTCTGGGTAAATTGCCCAAGCTGGCCTTCAACTTGTGATTCTCCTGTCTCAGCCTTTTGGGTAGCTGAGATTACAGGTGTGTATTACCACATCCAGCTTGTTTAGAGGAATCTAAAAAACTTACTAACAAGGTCAGGGTTTCAGGCTTCTGGAGAAAAAAAGGTTAGCGCCCCTCCCACTCCCCCCAGCCCAAGCAAAAGTATCCCAGGTCTCTAGGTGATAGGACACTGTCTTTTGTTCAGGTTTGCCATCTGTTTTTTGTCAACCCTTCTTAATGTGAAAGATCTGATTTTGATCTGTTTGGAAAATGGTTGTGTAGCTAGATAATGCCCCCCCCATATTTAAAAGGTTTGAAAACTTTAGATAGCTGTTGCATAACAGAAGTTTAAAAAAATTTTTAACGATGTATTTTCAAAACATGTATTTTTCCTCCCCCTATACAAACTTTTTCTACTTGGCTGTTTTATTTTTGCAAGGAAAAGTCCCCCAGACTTTAGGCTATTTAATTTAAGCCATTTAGATAGTCTAGGTTCTGTTGGTTTCTGTGGGATGGATGACTATTATGTTCTGCCTTAACGCTTGGATGCTATAATAAATTCTGGTTTCTGCTGTCCTACGAACCAGATCCTTCTCTACCTGCACGATTTGTACAGCTGCTGGAAACTTAAAAACTGTTTCTAATCCTGAGAAGTACCTGAAAAGTCTCAGACTCAACCAAAGAAAGATTAAATAATAGCCTCTGTCTGGCTTTGTACTGATTGCCAATTCTTTCCAAACTGATTAACCCCGAGAAGTAGCACTACCTCTTACATCTACATCACCACAGTAATCATTAGAGCACACAAGGCACCAGAACCTCTGATTTATTCACACATGCTATTTCCTGACCATAAGAGAGAGTGGAGTAGTTCCAGTTGGGCTATTACCCAAAAGTGGGTTTCTTATTAAAATGTCAACTAGGTAATGACTAACTTCCTTGAAGCTATACATTCCTTCATTTTGGGAGCAGGTTTTCTGGAAGTATATCAGGGATACTCTTGATGTTAAGGAGAAATGAGAGCTCATAAGCTGGAGGCAAATGGTGAAAAGAAACCCAGGGCCTTATTGTGTGCCACCATGATGCTGTAGTACCTTCTCATCTGGACTGTGTAACAAAGGCATCCTTATGAAGGTGTCACTGTTGATTGTGAGTATGCTCCAAATGGTTAGGAAGTGTTCATATTCTAAAAGGAAGCTCTGTGCAGTGCCTGTAGATCCCACAATGGGTTCTTCCGAAATAGTACACAAGTGGCTAATGGTTCCCC